ATTTTGGATACAAGATATTTAAATTTGTAAAGCAAGCAATGGAAAGAAAAATGATCACCATTCTGTTGAAAGTTTTTTTCCGAATTTTGATTTACAATAGTGAGGAGAAATCGTGCATGTGTTCTCCATCCAGGTGGCAATGATTTGTAATCAGCGACTTCCAGAAACAGAGACAAGTAATTATCAACCTGATTTCCCTTGGGATATGCTCTAAGAAGCCTATAGGAAACACGTACGGATACAAAATGAGTAAAACTGTTGAGGATATCACCTAAATCTGTATGGACAAAAGTCGCAAAACACTTGAAAATCTTACCATTTGCAGCTACCGACAACAAATTTATCTGAGCAAATGTTCTCAGATTGCAAAGAGGAGAAATTCTTTATTACCCAAGTGATCTTCTTTTCAAATTTCTTCCCCATTGATATTGATGAAGATTCCTCTGCAGTTAAACTAGCAGAACATGAAAAGAAGAAAAATGTGGCTCACACAGTCACACACCCAAAAAAAAATATAATCGGACAGTTAAACAATAATCTCGAGCCGCATAGCCAAATATATAAAAGATTGCAATACGGAATCAAAGCCATTATAAGTTCGAAAGCAACCCTAAAACATTTCTTTAATGAATGTTTAATCATTTAGATGTGAATCGCTTTCACTCCCTCCTACGGTTACTTGGTGCATGCACATTTTGGATTCTACCTTTAGATGGATTCTTCTTTCTCCTCCTTTCCATCTCAATCAGATTATTCTTCTCCTTTTTCTTACTAACATATTCATGAACCTTGACTCATCGTGATTCGTGACTTGATACTCCTTGGCATAACTATGAATAAAAGTAATTAACATTGGTAAACAGCGATATATATTAAATTGCGTACATCAATTGAGTTGAGACGCTTGTGTGGTAGCGACTCTTCGTGTGACCAACTAAGTTCATAAATTACCCTTTATGGTTTTATCGTTGAACAATATAAAATTTTACCCTCTATCAGGAAAAACAAAAAAAATATGGTCGTCACACACAAAGACATTACTTTATCATCAAGGCATTGGGGAAAATTGACAGAAACTAGGTCACACTACAAGAAAAATGAGCTTCGGTAGCAGTTCTTTGTAGCGCAAATTTACGAACTGCTACTAAAAGTTCCAAAATCGGATGGCAAGTATTTCGCAGCACTATATTAACGCTAGGATATAGTTTTTTATTAAGCGGGAACTTAACTCAGTATTATAGCGGGTAAAGGTAATTTTGGAGGCAAACTAATTGGGGTTTTCCCCCAAACAAAAAAAAAGTCTCGATTCTCTTAAGTCTTCAGACCAAAAAGACTTAGCCAAAAAAAAACCAAAAACCCAAAAACAAAAAGCATTGAGAAATCGCAATACCCATTCCATTCCGCCACTCTCACTCTTGCCAAAACTCTTAGACAAAAGCAAACACTTAGGTCATTTTTCTCTAAAAATCTAAATCTCTGTCTCCACCACGATTCCCTTTTCCGGTCACCACAAAACCCATTTCCTCTCATTCCTCAACCTCCGTCGCCTCGATTTCCGTCGATTTCAGTCATTTCTCAACCTAGCTCCGTCGCCTCGATCTACCTCTGGGTTCGAAAAGGAATCAGCCCTCCTCCTGCCTGAGCTGGTGTTGTCTCCGTCGCTCTAGTCCACCCTGAAGATTTCGAATAAGAAACCCAGGAAGGGTAATCAATTTACGATTTCTCGAGTAATGAACTCTAGATTTAATCATCATTCTCAGTGTCTTCGATTTCTCTAATTACTTTCAATTAACTCTCATTGTAGCAAGAATCGAAGCCCTAGAGATATCTTTGAGGACCTAACACGAACATAATCAAGAGAATCAATCTGCTTTACAACCTTCAGGTTATCGACTTTCGAGCTATGGTTCTTATATTGTTTGAAATCTTTTTTGTTTTGGTTATTACAATAGAAATCGAAACATTCATGCTATTAGTTTGCAGGTTGGATCTTGTTGCTATTAGTTTGTTGGATCTCGTTTCTTTTTGGGGTGAAGACGACTTTAACTCTCAAAGCCAATCTTCACAAGCTTAAGGCGGTTAGTCGACCTCCAAATATGAGTTTTTTATTGGTTTATTATGTGTCTTATTTGTGGGTTTCATTGTTTATGACTTTAAGTTATTGATTGGTTTATTACATGACTGTTTAGTCTTGTTAATGTGAATGTCTATGTGTTTGTTTAGTGTTTGAGTTATTCTTATGGGTTTGTTATGTTTTGCTCATAGGTAAGAACATATAATGGTCGAAAAGTCATGAGTTCATCTTAACATGTATGTGAAAACAATATATAGTTACGGGTTTAATGAGGTATTAAGAGAGTTTAACGTTTCTCATTAAGAGAATTTGGTTTCTCTATGAGATCCATTTTTTGTTTGTTTTGTGTAATGAAAGAGACATAGACACCAATTGTGTTCTTCTGTTTAGAGATTTATGTTTTCAGACAGAATTTTTGGTTTGGCCCATTGAAGAACTTGCTTTAAATCACAAGACAACTTTTTTATTCATCAATATGCATGTCAAATCTATCCTTTAATCCAAATTTTTTTTCGAGTCATCTGCAATTTTGCATTATCATCTTTTGATATTGAGTTATTGACTGATGAATAAAGAAGTTTATATAATTTGATCATCATAGTAACATTCAGTACATCAAATCTTTTACAAATATTTTAAACATGAACATTCAGTATAGAATTGTCATTTCTGTTCATGAACATGAGTTTTCCAAATATGAGTTTTTTATCGGTTTATTATGTGGCTTGTTTGTGGGTTTCATTGTTTCTGACTTTTAAGTTCTTGATTGGTTTATTACATGACTATTTAATCTTGTTAATGTGAATTTCAATGTGTTTGTTTGGTGTTTGAGTTATTCTTATGGAATTGTTATGTTTTGCTCAAGGGTAAGAACATATAATTGTCGAAAAGTCATGAGTTCATCTTAACAGGTATGTGAAAACAATATATAGTTAAAGGTTTAATGAGGGATTAAGAGAGTTTAACGTTTCTCATTATTTTTTTGCTTTCATCTTACTTTACTAAAGAACTGATCTTGGTTATGAGAGAGGTACTTAGGATTTGTGCGGTCTGTGGCTACAGCTTAAGGAGAAATTAAGATGATTATTTGCCCTTGCATTGACTGTCGCAACGTGGTACCGGTAATGGTGAGCTTTGTAGTTATTAATTTGCTCGTACTTTGATTTTACATGTGGGAAAATATGTCATACTAAGCTAAGATATTTTTTTTTTCAGGAGTGAAGTCAATTGCTTGTTCTGAATTGATGGATGAAGTATGTTTATTGCTTTCAAGTTTAGCCGGCTATGTTTGAGAACTTGATCTGTTTAAGACATGGCTTTGTGTTTTGTTTGTGACTTGGTTTGATGGTTACATGTTCTCTTCTAGAGTTCATGATTTAAATCAGTTCACTTTGTATGTTTGGATTTTTAATGGAAAAGCATTGGTATTTTATGAATTTTTGTTTCTTGTCAAAGTATCACAATAGATTTTATGAATCCCAAAATTGATTATGGTGAATAGGTGCACAATTTTGACAGCCATCAATGTAACGAAACAATATTCAACGGCATTTTATTTGTATTTCTTAAGAATATCATAAAATAGAATAGAAAATAATTAAACTATACAAAACACAAAATAACAAGGAAATTTACTTAGTTTTTGATTTAGATTTTAGGGCATAGATAGGGTTTGAGGTTTTTGGTATAAATTTGAAAATATAATTTACTAATGAAGAAAGTTTTTAATGTTTTTTTTTGTTTTATTTTGTTAATTGAAAAATAGTGAAAAATGTTTAAAGATGGAACCCTATACCCTAAACCCTAAACCCTAAACCATTTAGGGTATAGGGTTTAGGGTTGAAAGTTCAATCTTGAAACATGATTCACTTTTTATAAATTAACAAAATAAAATAATTTTAAAATAATTATTTAAAATTTTAAAGTTAAAATCTTAAATTAAATCTCTAAACCCTAAACCCTAAATTAAAGTTAAAATCCTAATTAAATTAAATCTTTAAACTCTAAATTAAAGTTAAAATCCTAAATTAAAATTCAAAATCCTAAACTATAAACATAAATACTTGAGTAAAAAAATCTAAATTCCAAAGTTTAAACCCTAAACCCTAAACTATGCCTTAGTGTATATGAACATATAAGTTAGATAGTTGGAATACTAACCTATATTAATTGTTCTTAATTTTAAAATTTTATACTTATAAGAAAAAATATTCTAAAAATTTTAATACTTATATTGAATTTTTAAAGAAATAATTTCTATTTTTTTATTAATAAACTATTTTATATGATAATTTTCTGATTTTTTCATTAATAGCCAATGAGAAGTAAGCTCCCACATTGTGGGACGAATCCTACACCGTTAGATCGCGCCGACTTTGATCTCAGCCGTCCTTTCTTATTGTTGACGCGATTAATGTACACCGTTGATCTGTCTTAATAACTTTGATCTGAGCCGTTCTTTTTCTTAGCCAATGAGCATTAACCTCAGAGATTGCACTCTGTGCTTATTCTCCACCATTGATGAATTTAATCCAACGGCTAAACGTTTCTCCTTCCTTTCTTTTTTTTTTTGGTTAAAACTTATTCTTTTTCCTCTTCTCTTCGTATCCTTCTCTTACATCCTTATGGGAAAATCAAATACTAGTTTGCTTCCTGTTTCTTCACATCTCCGATTGGTGAAGGATATAGAAGGTGGTAGTGGCGGCTCTTATAAATGATTTGAGGACATCTCTGAGCTGTTAGAGGACGAAGGCTCAAGGCTCCGTGACGGATATCGAGCGGCAGATCTCACAGTTGAGGGTGGTGTCTTAGATCTGCCTTTGGCGGGATTAACGAAATCCGGACAATCTTGCGAATCAGGTTCTTGGATCAATGTTACTGTGTACATGGCTCTTGTTTTTGTTTCGTTTCTGAGTCCGTGAATCGTGATTTCGTGGTTTGGTGCTTCGATGTACAGAAACAGAAGCAAACAGAGGAGGAATGAGAGCGACGAAGAAGGTGAGAGAGCGATTTGGCCGCTTTTTCTATCGGTTCCCGGAGGGAGAATCCGCCGCCGACGTCTTCGATCGAGTCTCAAGTATGTTTCTTCAGGAGAGGGTGGAAACTGGAATATAGGAGGCCCTTCTACTGATTCGTAAGTCTATTTTCCCAATTATGTAGCCAAAAGTAGAAATGTGGACCTAGTTCCTTTGGATTTCATTGCTAGGATGTAAATAAATTATAGGTGTGATAAGCTTTCTTCAACTGATCTTTGTGTTGCTTCCTTTTGCGGTTGCTTTTGGTCTGGATTTTCTTTCTTGGTATATAGATTTGAGGCAGGAGAGTCTCAATATTGAATTCATCGTGGTTTAACTGTGCCGTGAGAAGTGTGTTAAGATGAATTTCTTACTGAGCTGATTTGTTTCCTGTATTGCTGTTACAAAATTTTGATCTCATGTCCTCGTTACAGGAACCCATGGGGCAGTAAGCCTACATCTGACGTCTGGGTAAGCCTTGAACTTGATATTGCTGTCCTTCTGTCGTCTCTTTGCTTTGTGTTCTTCCATAATTCTCTGTGTGAATGAACAACAAGAAGTTAAAGACTCATGATTTGGTCTTCTGTGTGTTGCTTTACAGGTTTTCTCGAGTCTCTATGGAGAGACATCGACATGAACATACTACACATCAACCCGTCTCATGAGCTAAACTTTGTGATTGTCTCACACGGCTTGACATCGCGTGTCTTTCTGATGAAATGGTTCAAGTGGACTGTGGAACAGTTCGAGGGACTAAACAATCCGGGGAACAGTGAGATCAGAGTTATGGAATTAGGACAAGGCGGTGATTACAGCTTGGCAATTAATCAGATTGTGTATACGATTTTAAGGAGACATAGGAGCAGATGAAGAGGCATTCAACGTAGAGGAGATTTATGGAGATGGAAGAAAAGGTCCAACGTAGAGGCTCACATCAAGCTTTTTATGGGCTGAAACAAGTGATGAAGATCCATGGGCCAATAATTAGGAAAAGAAACAAATTTTTTGTATTTTCTTTATCTAATTTTTGTTAAAGAAACAAAGTTTATGTATTTTCTTATTTTATTCTTTTTTAAAAAATTGAGTATTAATATAGGTTTCAAATAATTGAAATATAGCACATAATAATATACATTACAGCAGCATTAACAAGCATTAACAAAATGTCACGAAACAATATCCACCGGCACATATAATGTGTTATCATTACAAGTTAGACATCACAAAATGTTTGCTATAAAAACAAACATAATAGCACGAGTGAAGCGCTAGTTAATAATATCCACCAGCACATATAGTGTGTTATCATTACAAGTTACACAGCACGAAATATTTGTTATTAAAAATAACATAATAGCAAAAATAAAGCGCTAGTTAAGAATATTAAATAGCTGAGTAATAGCGCTATAATAGGTCAATTTACAATAGCGCGTAAAAACTGCTACGGTAGGGAGGGGGTCTACCGTAGCTCCTCATTATACAGCGTTTGTAGTTTCGCTACGAAATCCCTTTAGTAGCAGTTTTCGTGTGTTACCGATGCTCATTTTTCTTGTAGTGTCAAACCCTAAAACTGAATCATTCCTGTGATAAAATCTCATACACCTTTTTCTTTGGTATAAAAATCACCTACAACTTCCTCGCTACTTGATTCATACATCAGCTCACTCGATATGCAAGTCATCCTGTGGAATTTGTTTGAGTAAATCTCGATTCTATACTCTATAATCTATATATGATCAATCCTTTACAGAAATCGAGAGAGTTACATTTTACAACATTGTGGATATTTACAAAGACAGGTTCTCTTTTATCTTCCTAAGTTTTAAGAGGATTCAGTAGCAAGGACAGCCCACAACACCAAGTAGAACCAAACTCCACGTGCCTTAAACAACAAGAAACATTAAACAATATCATCGAATGAGATAGGAGCTTTTGCAGTCGACACTTTTGCCTTCTCCTTCTCTACCAGAGCTTCTATTTCTAAACACTTCTGCTTCATGTCCTTCAACTCTTCCTCCATTTCTTGCAGCCCAGTCTCACTAGCCTCCTCATTCTCCTTCTTTTCTGACACTTCATAAAGTTTCTTCTCTAACCAATCCAGTTTAAATCCTACATCTCTCATCGATCCCAGTGCAGCATAAGCATCCAACAGATCATCCTTGGACATTTCCAGAGGTAACTGGCTCATAGTCTCAATCAGACTGAGTAGCAGACTCATGTAACCTGACCTTAGATTTGGGTTCTTTGGACGTAAATCTGATGCCATCTCTGGGTGTTTTCCAAACATACGGCTCACAAATTTTGCCTGTCATTGGAAAAAGGTTAATGAAGTAGAATGCATATTCAGAGAGAAGTTCCCGGAGACATCACAAAAGCACCATATCATAGAACGAATCATGTTATCCATTACCTGTGAAGGAAGAAGTTGAAAGCCATTAACATCCACGGATTCCGTGATTGTTGAAGTTTCCTCTGTTATATCTAATTTACCAATAGTTTCAAGAACTTTTATCTCGACAACAATTTTAAGTTCCCCGTTTAAGAGAAATCCGCTATCTTTGGCATGAATTTCGTTTAGGGGACACATGGATGGAAGACCCCAGTTGGTAGTCTTCTCATCAAACCACTGTTCTAGTTCTGTAATATCACAAATAAAAAGAAAGAAGAATTCATCTATTTAGTTCATTTTATATTGAACAAAGCACTAAAAGAACTATGCACCTGTGGATTGGACAACAATGCTCACAACTTGGCAAAAAATCTTTCTTCCGTATTATAAGAAGATGGGATGAGAATGATTAACTCGGATTGTTACTTCCTATCTAATTGACTATTTTGGGTTTATGATAACGTCAATGACAATAATAAGAGAGGATCTCTTGCAAAGCTAGCAGTGGTAATAAGTACTTTATTACCTGTACGTTTTGACTGAGAGAGTTTATGTGATAATTGATTTACTACAGTAAGACGAAATTTAGTGTGTCTTCTCCATCCAGAAGGCAGAGAAGTAGGAACAGCAACACCCAGAAACAAGGACAAAGAATTAGCATTATTATATCCCTTGGGATAAGCCCGTAGATGCCTGAACAAAAACCAAAGAAAACAATGGACGATATCACTCAAACCCAAAATAGACGAAAACACATTAGAATAGTTCTTACCATTTGCAGCCACCAACAATAAAATGATCAGAATAAATTAGGTCAGCAGGTAAAGTGGCGAAATTTTTAATCGTCCAAGTGATCTTCTTATCAAATTGCTTCTCCATTGATGTTGATGAAGATACCTCTGCAAAGAAACTAAGAGAACATGAAGAGAAGAAAAACCCTAGAATCCAAGCTAAAATCTCAAATATAAATCTCAAGCAGCATATCCAAATTGAAACTAAGATTCCTATATATATATGGTTTTGAAACCTTAATTAAGTATAAAGAAATGTCAATCGTTTAGATTACGTACACGAGGGATACGAATCACTTGCGGCTCCTCTTAGGGTTACTTGGAGCATGGGCAACCTGGATTCTATCTTTGGGTCCTAGGGTTAACTTTTGATCGATTCTTCTTTCTCCTTCTTTCCATCTTAATGAGATTCTTCTTCTCCCTCTTTCTATCTCGACCAGATTCTGCAGACCGTCTCATGTCAGCTACTTCTCCATTTCTTTCCCTTTTTTTCTCTCATGTATTTTGCCTTATTTTGGTACTCTTTTTAGACAAAGCTGTTATCATTTTTTTTTTTATCGCCATAAGAGTTGCTCAGCTATTAACAATTTGTAAAAATGAAATTTGATGAAACAATGATAGCAGAATAGAAACTGGTCCAATGACCAATGAAAGGTGAAATAACGTAGCAGTTGTTAAGTTATCTAAACAATATCAAAAAACGAACAGACCAAGGAGAAGAAAAACTCTAAATGCCTATGAACTCAAAAATATTAAAAAACATCACTGAATGATAGAGGAGCTTTTGCAGCGAAAACCTCTGCTTTCTCCTTCTCAAGCTGAGCTTCAAGGTCTAAGCATTTCTGATTCAAACTTTTCAGCTCTTCATTGATTTCTTGAATCCGAGTTTCACCAGCCTCCTCTCTGTTCTTCTTTTCTAACATCTCAACAAGTTTCTTCTCCAACCAATCAACCTTAAATCCAGCATCAGTCATGGATCTGAGTGCTACATATGCCTCATCTAGATCAACCTTGTTGAGCTCCTTAGGCGACTGGCGCAGAGTCTCAATGAGACTGAGTAGCAAGCTCATGTAACCTGACTTAAGATTTGGATTCTTTAAACGGAATTCAGATGCAATCTCAGGGTGTTTTTCAAACATATTCCTCACAAATTCCACCTGAGAGTTATAAAGTAGAATCCATATTCAGAGAACAGTTTTTGGAGACAACACAAAAGCACCATAGATATTGAACACATGATGTTGTCTCTTGTTGTTGAATATCCTACACAAAAAGTTTGTGGCAGTCTTAATTTTTACCTGTGAGGGAAGAAGTTCAAAGCCATTAAAAGCTATGGTTTCCATTATTGTTGAAGTTTCCTCCGATACATCAAGTTTCCCAATAACTTCAAGAACCTCTATCTCGGCAACAATTTTGAGTTCTCCATTTACCAGAAATCCGCTATCTTTGGCACAGATTTCATTTAGGGGAAACATGGATAGACGACCCCAGCGAGGAGAACGCGCATCAAACCACTTTTGTTCTTCTGTAAAATCACAAACAGAATTTATATAATCAGTTCATTTACATGCAAACAAAGCATTAAATGAACTATGTTTCTTTGGACTGAACAACAATGCTCACAACTTAGGAAAAAACGTGAAAACTAATACTATAACACAACCCATGAGTAACATTCAACTCCAGTCCCAAAACGAGCCTCACAAAACATCAGATATAAAATGTAGCAAAACAAAATAAGATTCACGACTTAAAGATTCGTAACTACAATGTGTTTGTCATTCAAAATTTTTTGGAGAAAAGAGAGCAGTGGGAAGAAATAAGCACCATTTTGTTTGGAACGCTTAACCGAATTTTGATTTACTACATTTAGGAGATATCGAGCGTGTCTTCTCCATCCAGGTGACAATGACTCATAATCAGCGACTTCCAAATACAGAAACAAATAATCAACATTATTTCCCTTGGGATAGACATAAAAACGCCTGCAAAAAAAAAACCAAATAAAAGAATCAGCAAAATCGTGGAGGATAATCACCTAAAAATCTAGATGGAGGAAAACACTTGAAAAACTTACCATTTACATCCACCAACGGTGAATGGATCAGAGTAAAACTTTTCCGATTTCAAAGATGAGAAATTCTTAATCGTCCAGGTGATCTTCTTAGCAAGTTTCTTCTCCATTGATCTAGACGAAGATTATTCTGCAACCAAACTACCATAACCTAATAAGAGGAGAAAAACCCTAGGATACTTTTTTTCTTGAATATTAAAAAAAAAACCTAGAAATTAATTTGATAATCAATCAACAATCTCAAGCAGCGTAACCACAATTGAAATTAAGGGGGTGTTATTGGTTTATTAATTTGTAAATCCATATAGAATTTGAAAATTTCTATTAATTACGAAATCAAGATATATGGATTTTGAAATAACATGTGTTTACCCATGGATTTGAATCCTTCTATTTTTCTCTTTCAATTCCATTCAAATCTATTTAAAACATAATTTGGATTCTCAAATCCAAAAACAAATGACTAAACGAATAACAAAGGATTTTAACTAGTATTTATAATTCATAGAACCAATAACACATGATTTTAATTAGGATTTTCAAATCAATGATTGAATAACAAATGATTTTTGTCTGGATTTCTAATTTCTTATAAATCCATGAACCAATAACCCCTCATAAGATTTCAATATGGAATCGAAATCTTGACAATTTTAAATGCCGCTCTAAAACGATTTCTTACCGTATAGGATTAAATCAAAGAGCCTTGACTCACTCCTTTTTTCTCCGTTAAAGGTTTAGATGAGACTCCTTTGTG